AGGAGTCGACAGCTATGTAACACATTTACTACCACACAGGAACAAATGAAGGTACAGTGTACAAAAACTGTAAACACAACATCTGTAAATAGATAAAACATCAGGTTCCTCACCATGCACATGATCTCATAAGACTTCATCTCTATACAATCTCACTTCTTACACTGTTGCAATTCTTCCCCGCCCCCACAAGTGCAAAGCATCACAAATGAAGAGTTCTGTATTCTATTAACATATATACAAGGAAATTACAAATATGAAGTATTGTACAGGTAATTGCTGTTATATTAATTTACAGATGTTCTTTCCTATTAACAGTAAGAATAGAAAAACCAAAGCATGAGATATGCACTCCTGTCAAGTTCCCACAGCTGCCACAGAAACACAATATGCTGCATTCCATCATCCCTTGCATTCAAATTGCTACTGATGCATAGCACCTAAACAAGTTCACAAAAGTTGGAGTTTCATTACTACAGAAACTACGTCACCTCCATTGCTACTGTATTGTCTGCTATATTGTTCAGTGCTGACTTTTCTGGTTCATGGTTTTTCCTGTGAAATGAAAGTAGAAAGAACACAAATGCATTTTTAATTGTTTAAATAGAAAAAAGCCACTCTTAAAAATGGTAAAAAGTACTTATTTTCCATCTTTGGAACTTCAGTAACGTAATAAAATATTTATTTACATTTTCAAGTCTGTGTTCTTATTGAACTTATGGAAATGTTATGGGAAAATGTACCATTTACACTTTAAAATGAGATATTGCCAATCTGAAATAAGATTTTAATAGAGAAAATCAGTTGTTTTTGGGGCAGTTCATTAGAACTTCTCAAAGGGAAAAAAACTACCTGCAGCTTTAATGTAGCCAAGATTGGGTACAAGTACATGAATCCAACACCATCCCCTCCAACCAGGGCAATAATAAAAATATCAATGAAATTAATGAAAAGAGATGTAGCATTCTTTGAGTGAAGTCTGAATCCTGACAATTTTTTGAACAAATCCATAGAGTCCTCATCTGGGATTTTTCATTGGAGTTCCCAATCTATAGCCCTGGTATTTCCAGTTAATGTCATATCCCAGTATTTGTCAGATTTATATCCTGCCTTTTTTCATTAGCTCAAGGTGGTATCCACAGCACTCCCTCTTCTCATTTATCTACAAAACAACCACCCTGTGATCTGAGAGAGAGACTAACTTCCATGGTCAAGACTGAATTAAAGTAGTCTCTGTGGAGCTACTCCAACAATTTAATGACTACACCACACTGGTTTTAATATATTAGTGTTGAAAATTTAAAAAGATAGGGGAGGGGAGAGACTCTGACCACATGGAATATGTTCAGGGCTTGAACATATCAACCTTAATATTGCAAGTATTCCTGTATACACATTTCCAGGTTGGAGGTAGTAATATGCTTGGGGTACTCAAATCTACAACAAAAATAGTAAAATGAAACAAAAGAAAACAGAAGATTGAAAACATAAAAAGTGATATAAAGTTAAATAAAATAAATTTATTTCAAACTATAGCACTTCCATTTTCATTAAGACACTCACCCATACATATTTTCTTTTTCAATGATAAGAATTCAAGGTGATAAAAAGTAAGAAAAGCACTTACCTTGATACTGTGTTCACAGAGGATGAGGCTGGCACCTGACAGTTTGCTGCAGCCAGCTTTAAGGCAGATGATGGAATAGCACTTAGAGTCCTAGGCATGTGACATGCATCGAGTATATTAATAGAGTTTGCAGTGGCAACAGATGAGGGTACAGTTAATCTAATGTTGTTCCCAAACAGAACCTGAGTTGTTGTAGAATTGGCAGCAGTTACATGGTGACTCACTGCACTGTGAGAACTTAAAGTCTGTTTTATATTTGAAGGCTGTAAAAAGGCTGAACCTGCTGTTGATGAGCTTGTATGTACAAGTGCTGTAGGCATAGTACTACTGAAGTGTAAGCCCTTATATAATCCTGTGAAATAAGTAAAAAAAACAATAATCTCACCCCAAATGACAATAATAGGTTACTGGCTTAACTCTTTCTCTATCATATACACCCCCACCCCCCCACAATTATACTTTTTGGTACTATAATCATTACCACTTCTTACCTGAGGCTGGAAGGATGCCACTCACCCCAATTCCA